CTTTTTCTCACTTGGGTCTCTCCCCTTTTAATCTCTCATTTCTCTCAAAGGAAGCCATAGCCACCTCTTCCCCTCTCTCTCTCCATTGGAAGCCATAGCTCTTGAACCTTGAGAAGAGCTTCTTGAAGGGTTTTGAAGAACAAGAAGAGAGAATTAGGAGAGAGAAAGGGTATGAGATAGTGACTCTTGGAGAATAACCCATCATGGAGAATCAAGACACAGCCATGTTTTGATGTTTTGTTTTTGTTCAAAACCAATTCCCATGAAGAACAAAGCAGCTGCCTCTTTCAGTACTTGTAGCTAAGCTAATTAAGTTATATATTCTTTTTTTTTCTTTCTCAACTTTGGCTTTTTTCTTATTAATATCTCTCTCTATTTCTCTTTCTGAGAAGGGATTTCAATTTTAATACCCTAGAAGAAGGCCTCTCACAAACCCAAACAAACCAAAAAAATCAGTTGGATTTATCAGTTTTTGGTATTTTTTGCTGTTGTTTGTATCTCTGTTGGAGTTTTCTCCCAAGGGCATAAAAAAAAGAGAAAATTTTTCAAGATGTTTGCTGCAACTTTGTCCAATTCAACTTCTTTGTCTGAAGAAGCAAGCGTCTCTTCTGGTACAAGAGTCCAGCCTGCAGATTTCAGCTGCTTAAACCCACTCCTTCCGACGTTTTCTGATCATCACCCTCCGCTAAAAGTCAAGAAAAAACGGAGCCTTCCGGGAAACCCAGGTAATTAACTCGAGATACAACTTGTTTCATGACGTTCCTGTTTCTTATTCCTCTATTCTGTGAGAAACAAAAACATAAAATGTGTTTAGTTTGGCGTTTATTTTTTGTTTCTGCGTTTGGTAACTCATTGCCAAACGAGGAGAGACAAAAGGAAACACCTGTATTTACCAAGAACGTTGTCGAAATGATTATTGGGGCTCGTTTTTTCTCTGTTTCTTGTTTCTTGTTTTCAAAAAGAAAAAACGAACTTGCGTTTTAATTTGTAATTAATTYTCGTTTATAAAATTGAAAACAAGAAACAGTAAACAAAAACGAGAATACGAGAATGGAGAATCAGAAACATGATCCCTTAAATCCTCGTTGAATTTTGTGAATCCAAATCCATAATATTGTTTACTGATCTTTTGCAGACCCAGATGCAGAAGTGATTGCACTCTCACCCAAAACCCTTCTTGCCACAAACAGATTTGTGTGTGAGATTTGCAATAAGGGTTTCCAAAGGGATCAGAATTTGCAGCTGCACAGAAGAGGCCACAATCTGCCATGGAAGCTGAAGCAAAGAAACAGCAAAGAAGTGAAGAAGAAGGCGTACGTTTGCCCCGAACCGACGTGCGTCCACCACCATCCTTCGAGAGCCCTCGGAGATCTCACAGGGATCAAAAAGCATTATTGCAGGAAGCATGGAGAGAAGAAATGGAAATGCGAGAAATGTTCTAAAGTCTACGCGGTTCAATCCGATTGGAAAGCCCACTCCAAGACCTGTGGCACTCGAGAATACCGATGTGACTGTGGAACCCTTTTCTCCAGGTAATACCCAAATTTTACCAAACAATACTTGCTTACCTATACATTGGTTTCGGTCAGTAGGAGCTACTTCTACTGGCTTTCTAATGTAGCATATTTTTATTGGTCTATTTCTATTTTTTCTTTTTTTTTAGTCCAACAACGACATGGGATGGGGTGGGGCGGGAATTCAAATCTTTAATCTCTTAGTAGAGCTATATTCTTATTTTTACGATAAATGTTGGGTGAGTGGGAGATTGAACCTTCAATCTCAAAGAAAAAAGGTTGTGTCATATATATCCACCGAGTTATACTCAGAATTTGCGAGGAAAAAAAGAGAGATTATTTCTATTCACGCATTTAATTATATATTATATGTTGATTCTCTTTTTGTACTCTTATTTGTTTTTTGCCGGGGTAAAATTCATGGTCCTTCAATGAGGTTTTTACCCAAAAAGCCTCTCTTATGTCTTTAATTATGGCAAATTTTTCCAATTAATTTTTTCACTAATATGGTAATTATTATAATTAATCTCTCTCTATGCATGGAATGTTTATGCCCAAATACATATATGGGGCTGTTTTTTGAATTGAATTTTTTCAGCTGTAGAAGATTAATTTTATGTAATTTAATTAATTGCATCCATTTTATGGGAAATTCATGAAATTTTCAAATCTTGGTCAGCTTTTTTTTTTTTTTGTGGAAAAAGTTGTAAGAAATTGAAGTGGAT